TTTTTTTTTTTTGCCCTTCTGGGAATTGAACCCAGGGAGCTCCAAACTGCATTCTCAGCCCCAGCACCTCTAAGACAGGGTCACACTATGGCACAGGGCTGGCCTCAAACTTGCAAACCTCTTGGAGTAGCTGGGATATGGGTGTGCACTGCTGTCCCTGGCTCTCACCTCCTTTTTGGGAGAGGGAAAGGGAAAAGCACTAAAACCCTAACACAAACTGCATCAAAACCTTTCTAGTGTTAATATAGCATCTTTATCAAAGAGGGGAGGTAAACGTTGTAGTGAACACTCTTATACCTCAAAAATATACCCACACAGGTACATCACCTAGAGGTACAAGATCCCAATGATATATGCAACTGTACTGTTTACCTTAAATATACCAATAAACTTAATAAGGCAGCTTGGAACTAAATACACATATATCACATTGGGACTGAAAAATCAGCACAGGGAGGGATTTTATTTTTGCAATTAAAGGGCTGAAGTAGGTATTCCAAGTTGATGCCAACTTGGGCAAATCAGTGTGACTTTGCCTCGAAAAAGTGGGCTGGGATCTGGGGGGGCAGGGGTCTGCTGATAATCCAGCATTTAGAAGGCTGAGGCAGGAAAATCTTGAATTCAAAGCCAGCTTGGACAAGATTCTTTCTAAAAGTTGGGGGAGGCTGGGGATGGAGCTCAGTGGTAGAGTACCCCTAGGTTCTTAAATCCAGGGTCACAAGACAGAAGCACAGGCACCTCTAGAAGTATAGTAATTATTAAACCCCCAATACCAAGGAAAAACAAAAACAAACCAACACCTCTATGCTAGGAGCACACCCTGTAATCCCAGCCAGCAAGGAGACAGGAAGGTCACTGAGAATTCAAGGCCAGGACTTCCAAGACAAAACCAAACCAAACCAAACCAAACCCAACACTTCTAATTTAAATGAAGAACTACCCTCTGCTCTAAGGCAAATCAGCTTTGTGGGGCCTTTGCTTTAATTCACCTGTACACATATGCTCAGGTGACTTCCCTAAAAGCAGGGGAAGGGGATGTCAAGCAGGAAAGACCCATACCACACCTTAATTTGAAAAGATTTATTATTTTTTTTCTCAGGAAGAACAGGAAGTTAGGGAAAGATACTACATTTTACAGCTCATTAATCTGTAGTTGGTCCTAATCTTTCCTGGCACAGCTGTCAAAGACAGCTGTTTAACCAGAAATGAGGTGTCCCCCCTCCCCCAACACCGCACACAGCACGCACTCTAGAGGGCTGGTTTTCCCTGAGAGAAGTAAGACAAATAGTCACTGGGAGCCGTCCAAGCAGCCCCTCCCTCTCCACTTTCCATGATTTTGCCTGAACTATGCAGCCAGTCAGCACTTTGTAAGACCACGCGCCTCTGCTTCCTGTGAATCCACTGTGGTTCCCCCAACCTCCCCCGCACATCCCTTTTCCCCAATCACTTGGCTCTCTAAGCACCAACCGAGATCCCTCCTGAATTTCAGCTTGCACATCATGTACACCTGTCCACTTATCTTTACAACTGGACATGGGAAGAGAGGTTTTGTAGTCACCTTAACCAGATCGTAAGATTCATTAAAAACTACATAAAGTGCTTTTAGGTTAAGAGAGACAGGACATAAATAAGTGGTCTGTGATCAAGAACGATAAATACATAGGTAAAAATAGCTCTAGCAAGATGACTTTATGGCTCCAAGGAGGACAGGCAGGGCAATTCTTCCCTATTACATTCTTAGTCATTTCATTCATGCCTATTTTTATCTGGCGTGCACAGACTAAAGGTCGAGCTGAGACTGAAGCTTTCAAATAACTCTAGCTGCAATACAGAAGCTTTCTTCAGTTTACCAGTAGCTTTTATGTACGTAACTCTGAGGTTTAACAGTCCACCTCCTGCTAGAAATTTAAGCAAGCATATTCAAATGCAAGTATTTTAAAGACAGCTAGGTTATCCCTTCTGAAAATTCCTAAGAGGATTTTTGAAACCTTCCTCCCACTGCATGGATGAGACAACTGCAAGGATATCAAGAGGAGGGAGTCCCCCAACTCTTACGACTGTCACTGTCACAACACCCATAGTGTTCCACCTCCCAAGGGATGAAATCTACGCTAGATGAAGATCTGTGAGCTGGGCGTGGGTGGGTTAATTAGGTTCCTAGTAGGGCTTCATATGCTGAAAACTAAAAGGGCAAGTAAGAGGTCAAAGACGGCAGAGTAATGATGTAGAAATGGATGTAATTATCTGTACAGGGAGCAGGACTAGCAGCACATATTTCAAAGGACAGGAAATACAGTAAATTCAGTAGATCAGGTTCGAGACCAAGAGATGCCAATGCAAAATTTAAAACAAAGTTTGGGAATCATGGATGGAAAAGAAACTGTTAAGTATTTCTTTTATTTACATAGCAGGCTTGAACCTGTGTTTAACAAGCAAGCCTGGTATTAGCACCATTAGATTCTGGCCTGCTTTTGCAAGCCATTTTACAAATTAAGTAAACAAGGAATCAAATGTCTCTCACACACAATGCTCATTTGGAACAGCTGAAAATTTTTCAGTGAAAGCTTTGAAGATGAGCTCATGAACTTAGTTTTAAGTCGCACCAGTTAAATTGGGTCAAATTTAAGAATTCAAGGGAAGTTGCCTAATCAGAACCCACTATTTTTATGACATCAGCCCATCCACCCCCAGAACCTATTTAAGGAATATTTACCAAAATCAGATGGAAAAATTAAGCCCTGCATAGTTATGAATCAGATTTGTTCCAGTACAACCAGGTTGCACACAAGTAACATTAGTTAGTTTTGCATACACTCTAGAACTGACCGAGACAAAGTTCTGAATAGAAAGCTGTAAGAAACAGATTCCTAACTACAGAAGTTGCAAATTTCAAAAGGGTTTGAAAAAAAACTACTGTAAATTTGATATACTTTATGTCCAAAGGAATACTTTCTGTAAAAATATACAGGATTTTTACAGACAAATACAAGTTGCTTTGTTTTAAAAATTGAGACTATTCTGTATTTCTAACTACTGTTGGTCTATTCAAGAAATACACTGGGGAAAATGAATTACAGAGGAAAAGCTACCCCTCACACACTGTTCTACAGTACTGAGGCCTGTGCTCAGAGTTCAATTCCTTGTAGCTCAAATCCATTCCACACACGTCACGACCACTGTTAGTGCTTCTTTTAACACTAGACAATTGATGAATTGGGGGCGTATGTAATGGCTTCTATGACTAGCTGGCTACTGGCCACTCCTCTGGTTCTACACAAAGAAATCAAGTCCTTCCACCCTAACACCTTCACTAAATCTGGAAGTCTTTCATGGTCTCGCAGTTTGCATGTTGCTGAAACTGCCCTCTGCTTCTTTCAGACTGCGACTCTCGAAGGGGACTACTTTTCCCATTACCGGTAGCCATCATTTTCTTGCTTTCTGGCCTCTTTGAAGTTGCTGCTTGGACACCTTCAAGCCCAGCTTCATAAATACTTTGATTTCACAGAAGTATATTGTTTTGGTGCCTGGGGTTGTTTAACAGTCAACTATTGCACGTACAAGGCTATCTTATTAGATACGCCAAACCAGCTCCTACTCCAGCAACACCCGCAAAAGCCAGCAGCACATTTCTGATGCCGCCTTCTAGATCCTCTACGTGGAAGAACTCCACAAACCCATCCTAGAAAACAAAAAAGAGAAGCACATTTTCACGTATGGGTTTCTGCTGTCTTAATAACACTATATACAGAGAAACGATGCATTAACTGTCTAAGGTATTCCCCAGAACAATGACAAACCAATTATTCTCTTGTGCTGCAAAACAGATTTCTGGCATCCTTCAGTAAGTGGGAACCGTAGTGTTAAAATGTAATTTCACCGAAATACTTGATCACATTTGCATAATCTAAAAGAATCCCTTTGAGGTACAAACCAAAAATCCTAACTTCCCTCCGATAACCACCACCATGTACCATCTGTGTAAACTAGAATTTCTCAGCGTGGTCAGGTACAACCTGCTTCAGGGCTATCCGGGTGCTGAGGCTTACAGTGCAGCTCCACCCCACAGGTACGCACAATTAAAGCGAGGGGCTCCTTAGAAGTATCTTTTAGTTACCATCCCCAGGTGACTATTTCTTCATGGTTTGAATCCACAGGTCTGAAGATTATCCAACTGAATTACAAGAACTGCCTACAGAAAACCAGGGCTTTTGACAATATCGCTGCTCTATGAAACCACTACGTAATTTAACATCAAGCAACAAGACGGCTGTAGTTGAGGGCCTGGAAACGGGGTCAAGCGTCACAAAAACCTGCAGACACTTTCACCCTTCCCAGAAGCCCCTTTCACTCCAAGACCCCCTTCATCTCTAGGGCGAACTTACCCAGCCTCTTTGTTTGACTAGCCAGTCCCTTTTTGTTTGTACGAGAACTTCTGTGATACTCTCTGCTAATGGTTCGATGCAGCTTTCTTGGTTTATGCTCTTCAAGTGTTTGGCCACAAAGGCACCAAAAGAAATGAGAGTCACAATCCTGCCCCAGTTTGTTACGCCGTCACTGAAAACATGGACCATCACTCGTGACAAGGATTTGACATCGTCTTCGTTTTTGATGTCCAGTTTTCGAAGCATTCCTGAGGAAGAAAAGCACCACGGCCCCACTGTCTGAGCCCGGGCACGACCCTCCTGGCCACCCACGGCAGGGGAAGTGGCTACGCGGGCCCTGGGGAACTGGGGCCGACCCCACTGTAAAACCCACATCCCACCCTTTCCGGTCTTTGAACAGAGCGGCCGCTTCCAAAAGCACCAGGACGGGCGGAAACAATGACTCACGGCCCGAGCATGCGGGCCGGGCGCCAGGCCGGCG